GAATCCTATGATGAAAATCACGATCCCTCGCGATTCTAATGGCCAATCGACGACAACTACGACAGTGTATAACTAGGATTATGACAGAGAATACATCGACAACGGTGGTCGTGGCAAAAAAGGGCGACGACAACTAGTTAGTGTTAGGATTTGGAGATTTTAAGATTTTTTAATTTAAACTAAATTAAGGTTTTTTTATAAATATAAATATTTTTCATGTTTAATTTTAATTTAAATGACTTTTTATAATCATACACGCTATATATGCGTGTGATATACATATATCATGAAGATTTGAGGGATTCTATTAAAACTTTAAAATGATTCTACTAATTATATTCGAGTTCTATTTTATAATTCAACTCGAATTTGTTTTTTTTTGGGACAACTCAAGTTTATGAAATTATGAGTCGAGTCAAATTAACTCATGTATTTTAACTTCAAATCGAATAAAAATTTGATTTCTTTACATAAAATGCTGAAAATAGCAAATCATAATAACAATATTTTTTTTGATTAAGCTAAAGGTGATACAAAATAATATCTATTCCAAATACTTTTAATCATTTGACAATGAACGCTCAATCACTCTTATAGTTGTTGTGCTCGAACCTGTGACCTTTAGGAACAATAACGATTCATTTAACTACTGGAATAAATTGGTTCGTGAAAACAATAATAACAATATAAATGATAACTTACACAAAGAATGACATAAAAACCAAAATTATAATACTAATAAATGGAACCCACCAAATGACCTTAGTGGTAAAAAGAAATATTGATCTCTCTTCAGAATTTATATTCAAACAATTGTAAGTTTGGAAACAATAAAATGCACTCCTTTTCCTTCTTCTGGGCTTAGGAAAGTTTTTCAACGAGAGACTTATTGTTGTTGTATGATTGTCTCGCTATGATTATAAAATCATATAAACCACATTTAAAATAAAAGAAGATGTTTGTGAATTTTACTTGTTTTTCTTATTCTTTTACATTTCTTATTCTTACTTCTTGTATACTTTGATTCTATAATTACTTTCGATATTTTTCTTTCTAACTTAGGGGGTTTACCAAGAATCGAAAGTGTTTTTCCTTTCGTTTTACTTTAATTGTCATTCTTTTATTTATTTATTTATTTAAATTCATTTGTCAAATTTGTCCTTCTCATTTACTGAACTTTTTGTTTTAAAAGCAATATTTTAAAACTAAAACCCCTTAGATGTAATGTGTGTTAAACATGAAAAAATTACTAAAAAATACATCTCTTATTAATTCAATAAGCATAATACATCATACAAAGAATAGGTTATTTATGATGATTAAGATGATAGCTCAATTGTTGCTCATCCACCTGTTGTAACAGCATAACCGCATGGATAACCACTTGATCTATCACGTATCATAACAAACAAACACATGGCTTCTAAAATACTACCATCTTTTAGAATATATTTATCATTCATCCTCCTACTTTATATGACTTCTTTTAACTCATACACACATAGTTAGTTTCTCAACGTTTTAACTCCATTAAGAGCAAGAGGTTTTATCAATACATCTGCAACATGACTATTGGTAGAGAAGTAATTGAATTGAACTTCTTGTGCTGTAACTTTTTCTCGCACGAAGTGTGGGTCTAGTTTAATGTGTTTACTCTAAGAATGCAAAATAGGATTCACAACCACAACAACTGCACTGGTGCTGTCACACCACACCTTTGGTGCTTCTAGTAAAGGAATTTCCATCTCATGTAAAACCGCCTTCACCCACATCACTTCAGAATTTACATTTTCCAAACTTTTGTATTCGGCTTCCGCAGTTGATTAAGACACATCACGTTTTTTCTTCAAGTCTATGAGAGTAGATGGCCTCCATTATAGACACAGTATCTGGAGATTAACCTTCTCTCATCAATATCTCCTCCCCAATCTGAGTCAGAGAAGGCGTTAAGAGTCAAAGACTTTTGCACTTGAGAGGGAAACCAAAGTCCAACTTCTAAAGTGCCTCGTAAATATCGTAAGATTCATTTAACGACCAACTAATGGACGTCTGTGGGTTCTTGCAAAAATTAGGCAGCCTTATTGATTGCAAATAAAATATTTGAACGAGTATGACAAATATATTAAAGAGTTCCTACCACACTTTTATACTGTCGAAGATCTCGTAGCAACTCCCCATCATGCCTGCTAAGTTTAAACGAGGTGGCCATAGGAGTTGTGGCAGCGTTCACATCAAACATTTGATTATTCTCTAATAATTATGTGATAAACTTCTTTTGACTAAGAATCAAGCCATGCTCATACCTATGTATCTCTATGTCAAGAAAAAAAAATTAATTATCCAAGATCCTTTAAGGAGAACCTGTCATTAAGCTTTGTGAATGACTTGATCAGCATCTTCTTGATATCTACCAGCCTACATGTGACTAGAATGTCATCAACGTACACCACTGTGTATGTAACCTTACCATTAGCCAAGCGAAAAAATAAGGAGTCAACCCTTGAGGATTTGAACCTTAAGTTGTACAAGAAATATTGCAACTTCAGAAATCATTTCCTTGGGGCATGACGCAGTCCATACAAAGGTTTTTTTCAGTTTGCAAGCTAACACGGCACCATCAGCTGAACGTTCTTCAAACCCAGGTATTTGTTGTATGTAAACATCTTTACACAATAATCCCTTCAAGAATGCGTTATTTACGTCTACTTGCCTTATTTGTCAGTTACAAATAACAACAAGCGATATCAGAATATTCACCATGAGAAAATGAACAACTAGACTAAAAGTGTCTGTAACCTGGCTCTGATACCAAGTTAAACATGAAAAAGAATTACTGAAAAATACATATCTTATTGATTCAAGAAATATAATAAATCATACAAAGAATAGGCTATTTATGATGATTAAGATGTATTTATGATGATTAAGATGATATCTCAACTGTTGTTCATCCACCTGTTGCAACAACATAATCGCAAGGAAAACCACTTGATTTATCGCATGTCATAACAAACAAACACCTGATTTCTAGAATATCTTTAACAATGTGAATCTCCTCTTTTTTATTAAATATAAAAAATTATTCCAATCAAGTATGAAAAATCATTATTACGATTAAGATTTTTCGTATTATAATGATGAAAACAATAAACAATAATGAATTAATTTTCATGGATGAAAATATCTTTTGCTTTGACTCCCACAATAATAATATGGTGATGGATATTAATTTATTAAAAAAACTATCATCCAAATATTTTAATGTCAAACTTGCATGATCTTATAAACATAAATTAACAATTCATCGATCAAATAATGATAAATCGATAATGTGAATTATTAAAATATAATAATTAAAAGCTTAATGATAAAAGTAAAAATAAAACAAACCAAAAATGATATTGGGATTAGTTTATGTTGAAGAATCGGGTAAAGAAAATGAAAGAACATAAGAATTTTTAACGAGGTTCGGTAATGTGCTTACGTCCTCGGTGCCTAGACGGCGCTAGAAATTTTATTCAATATCTCATAGATTTAGATTACACATCTATTTATAATAAAAAACCTGATACATAATTTTATAATTAACCTTATCCTCTTTATCGGTATACTTATGAGTCATACCTAACCGTTTACACTCAAGAAAAGGTTAAAAAAGAATCAGAGTGATGATTATAAGTGTTTTCAGAAGAAAAAACAAAAGATTCTATTGCGAAGAAAGCCCGAAAATTTTAAGAAGAAAACGGGAAAAAAACCCGAGAAAAGCGATGCAGAAATTGTGCATTACTCAAAGGAAACAGAGAAAAGGGATGAAAGAAAATGAGCAAAAGATTAAGAGTTGCAGACAATATTTGAAAGGAATTAACCGCAGACCAGAGTCAGGTGAGGTCGTTCAGGCAACCAAATTTTATTGCAGTGACTGTGTGGACGCCATTAGAATTATGTAAAATGTGAAGAAAGATTAGAAATTTGGAGAGTGAGTGAGAAAGGGACAATTTTCACAAGTCCCAAGCCGACTTAGATGAAGCCGTTGGTCCCAACTCCCAACAGAGTTAACCAAACTCACTTTCTGATCAACTTCCCCATTGGTGGATTGGTTTTTGACTCTGTTACAATACCACTCTATATATTGCCAAAACAACACTTCTGGGAACCAACCATTTCAGCAAAAGAATCCACAAATTCAAAAGCTTTTGAATTTTTACTATCATTTCCATTATTTTAAATAAAATTTTCAAAAGGATGCTGTAAATGAGATGAAATATATGGTGAATTTTTTAAACTCAATTTGATCAAAATTTGGTTAACACATTAATCGAATAAATTTGACTCAAGTATTTATCTAGCCAAAACAAGCTAATTCGACTTGAAAAACTTATGATCAATTCAAAAAATAATATATTAAATTTTAATTTTTTTAAATTTGATAAGACCAAATTATCAATAAAATCTCCATGTATTTAACATTTAGATTTGAGTTTAAGTTTGAAGCGATCTTGAGTTAAAATCGAGCTTGAGTTTGAACTTTAATTGAGCTAAATTTACGAAATTTTCGAGTTTAATTTTTTTTTTTTTTTGCTTGAATCGGGCTTTAAATTTAATTTCAAATTTGAGTTGGCTTAACAATTTTTGTACAATCTTTCAAATTAAATCGAGTCAAATTTTATTTTTGATTTGAAATTTAAGTTGGGTTTAATAATTTTAAATTTAAAAATTTTATTTTTTTTTAAAATAGAATCAAATTAACAATACTAGAATTACACTCTACTGATTTATAGGCCTAGGTACATGTGAGAAGCAGGACAGGGATAGAAGTCGGCTTGTCAAGTCGCTGTTCTTTTTTTTATTATTATTGTTTTCCTCTTCAGTATTTAACGTTAAATCACATCATCTCAGAAGGGTTCTGCATTTGCTTTACGGTATTAAAGGCAAGAAGAGAAACTAGCTTTCAAGCTTAAAAAGTTCATGTGCTTTTCTTTTCCTCTCATTTGCTCCTGTATTTCCTCTTACTGAACTAGTGCCTTTCATTCATTCATTAGAGGTGAAGAAATGACTAAAGAAGAAGACTTTAAGCTGCTCAAGATTCAGGTCTTTCTCTTCTTATACCCTTCTTTTTGATTTCTTTATTATTATTTTTAAATCTACATGTACAACAAATTGTAGCGGATCCTGGTCTTTTCTTATGAAGAATCTTTATTTTTCCCCCCGCTTGTTTGCTTTTCCTTGTCTCCAGACTTGTGTTCTCAAAGTGAACATACATTGTGACGGTTGTAAGCAGAAAGTGAAGAAACTCCTTCAGAGAATTGAAGGTGCTCTTCTCACTTTTAGCATTAGCTTTCTTTCATCATTGCATTCTTCTCCTTTTCTGGTCTCTGATTGTGGATTGTTCTCTTTTTTTTTTCTACTTCTATGACTCTTATCTTGCATGTCAACATGTTTTACTTGCTAGAAATTGTTATTTGCTTGGTTCCCGAGAAAATTACGATATTTGGACTATTTGCAGTTGCCTGGGGCAGTCAGCTGGGAAAAGTTCCAACTCATTGGCCCCCATAACTGGTGCACATGCTTTGGCTAACTTTTTTTTAATGTAGTTTTGTATTTGTTGTTTCTTCTTTGTTTCCAGGTGTTTACCAAGTAAGCATTGATGCAGAGCAGCAGAAAGTTACAGTCTCAGGGAGTGTTGACTCTGCAACTTTGATCAAGAAATTGGTCAGAGCTGGTAAATATGCTGAGGTTTGGTCCCAAAAGTCCAACCAGAATCAGGATCAAAACCAAAAGCAAAAGAACAACTGCATCAAAGATGACAACAAGAGCAATAACAACAACAACAACAACAACAACAAAAACAAAAGCCAGAAGCAAGGTATTCTCAAAGGTATGGAAGCGTTCAAGAACCAGCAGCAGAAGTTTCCCATTTCCATTCCAGAGGAAGAGGATGAGAACACGGGTGATTATGAAGAAGATGATGAAGAGGATGAGTTGCAGTTTCTCAAATTGAATCAGCTCGGTCAGTTGGGTCAGCTTGGCGGTTTGCTGAGACATCAAGCTCTTGACGCTGCAAATGGTGCTAAGAAAGGTGCTGGGAACTTTAATCCAGATTCCAGCAATATCAATAATATTAACAACAATGTTATGAATGGGAATGGTGGGAAGAATCGGAACCCCAATCAGAATATGGGAATGAAGATCAACCCTGGTTTGCTTGATCAAGAAACATTAGCAGCTGTGAAGATGAATGCTGCAGCCGAGGCCAAGAGGGGAAATGACATGAACTCTGTTGCTGGTCTTTCGGGTTTTCATGGAATTGGTGCTAATGTTGTTCCCAATGCTGCTTCTGTTTTAGCAGCCAATCCCAATGCTGTTGGAGGATACCATCAAGTTCAATCCAACAATTGCTTGCAGGGGCCTCCTGCATCTAGTTTCCCAAATGGCGGATATGCTACCGGTCATTATCCATCGTCGGTGCTCATGAACATCAACGGCCATAACTATCCATCATCGATGATGAACCTGCAGAACAGGCATACCCTGCAGCAACAACCTCAGATGATGTATCATAGATCCCCTTTAATCCCTCCAAACACCGGCTATTATTACAATTACAACCCTCCACCACCAAACTCATTCCCTGAAGTGCACAATTACAATGCTGATCATCAATCTACAGCAACAACCCATTTGTTCAGTGACGACAACACAAGCAGCAGCTGTTCAATAATGTAACGAGTTAGTAATTCTACTGTGTAATGGGAGAGTACAAAATCTCAAGTGTAGTTGTTGAGTCTGCTATTATATTTTAATCTTATTTAAGTAGTATTTAACTTCAGCTCTGCCTGCTTGTGTTCTAGTACTTTTTTATTCTTCACATGGATAATGAAAATGTGATTTATCTTTAAAATTAAGGAGTGGGGTCTTATTTTATTCCAATTGGAGACAAGGTGACATCGGTTACTTGCAACTGCACAGGGAATAACGACAGAGAGGGTAGGACCGAGCTGGGTTGACACTATGTGTCACGTTAGTGCTGCAAAGTCTATGCTTTTGTTATAGGTTAGGTGGATGGGGCGTGCCATTGGTTGAGTGATGGTGTCAGTCAGCTGCGGCCAATTGGAAAAGGACAGGAACCACCTTAACCCAATATCACCATCTTTGCTCCACTGATCCTTTCACTGTGCAGAGATAACTGGTTTTAAAACGGATCTCATGTGATGCTAGTTTCATTTTTTATTGTACCTTCGCAAATCAAACATCTTCCGATAGATTTTATAGCTGATCAGTCTTTAAGGAGTTCATAGTCTCAGAGTGAATTATAGTGCATGTACAAGATCTTTAACATACCTATGTGATCTAGAGAATGAAATTCAAGAGTTTTACTCTTAAATTTATTTATCTTGTTGACTTACAAGTCTTCATGTTACACAGAAAAATACATATCAATTTTACCGACTACTACTCTTTACCCAAATAAAAAAATAACCAGCAATAACGGACAAAACTCGTTTTTTTCTCATCAGCAGTTTTCCCCTTCATTTGCGACATTTAGAATGATGGGGGCATGGTGGAGTTTGTGGACTGGTGCCCCATGAAGATGTGCAGTTTAAATTCTCACAAAGAATCTCTCCCCTTCAGGAGCATATGAATATGATTGGCGTTTGAAAGGGAGATAAGTAAGATACTCTGAGAAGAATTTAAGATGCATTTAATAATTGCATGAAAGTAAACCATTGAAACAGAAGAAAAGCGGGTAAAAAAAAGGTGGAAACAATGTTGATTGTTGGTTGGTTGTGTAAAAGTAGCTTGCAGGAAGCCATAATCATAGCCAAAAATATTAATTTGGAGCCTGACTCCATTAATGTGCTGCATGATTGACATAAGCATTTGCTCGTGAAAAATACAAAGCACCGACAGTCGAAACTGTTGCAATTTAGTTATCTGGTATTAGAAATGTATCCCATTAACTCAAATCCAAATTAAAATCAGACTCCGTAAACACCCAATTCCAACATTTAAAGTCCAAAAAAATTCTAGTCCCTAAGTTGAAATCAATCTTAATTAGGCTTGTTTAAATAAATTAACTTTCGAATTAAATTCAAAATGTAATTCTTTTGTTTATTCTTTGAGTCCAATAAAAATAGGTGTATTTGGTTCCTACATAGCTTAAAAGCTCACCCAAGTCCTTGGTCCATCACCAATAGAAACGAAAACTCTAGCAACACCCTTCGATCCTAAATTAGTTTTATCTTCTTCTTCGTCTTCTTCTTCTTAAGATTCAACGGGCTTAGAATTTCACATTAAACCATCAAAACGACTCCAAGTTCAAACCATTCAAAATTTAATCAAACACGATCAATACTCTTAAAAACATGTATAATAAATAAAATTCAATACATAATAGTGCTTAAACAAAACCGGGACTCTGAATATGAAAAAATGTGAGCCAAAATAATACTAGAGTTTATAGACAGAGTTACTAGCAAGGTCCTATGAATACGCATACAATATTAATATAAACCATAAGTTGTACTTTGAGAAAGGGGATGTTAGAATTCCTTCGACGATGATACTCCTTTGAAACGAACACAATCTACTACCTTGTGAACATAAACATTCAAACAATAAGCTTTACAATTATACTCCATTATACTTCACACACTTCAAAAATATAATTAAATAATGCGAGTATACACAAAGAGGCATATGAATAAATATATATAATCGTTATTTAGGATATTTTGCTTACCAACATTTATTAGTATACTACACAAGAATATCATCAATCACAAGTTAACGAATGGCTCTAGGACTTAATATCACCCAACAGTTAGATAACCATTAATCATTAGTAAACAATCAGTCTTAAGTCATTATTGATGGTCTAACGTACTGAATTTCGGGTCAAGGGTCTTAGGTTGACCAGAATAGGTTATTAATGAACTTAAAGGACCATCAGGAAGAGTTAGACCAAGTTTGGACTTGTTTGGGCTTGATTAGATTTGGGATTGAGCCCAAATAGTTGTAAAAAATGTATTCTTGGATTGAGACCAAAGAAGAAAGGACCAATCACACTCTCAACTGAATAAAATTCAATAAGCTTAACAACAAAATTAAACTTTATATGAGTTTGATAACATGATTCATGGTGTATAACTTTATAAACTCTATGTTAAAATACTTGGCTAGAAGTGATTGCTAGTTTGCCACTTAAGTCAATAATTAAAAACTATCTTTTTTTTTCCTTTCGGTTTCAAGACTTTGCTTTAATTAATCCGGACCGACTTGTGTCACACATCTGATTTTGGTGAGTGAGTCTTCCAGCAAGAGTTTTCTACATACACAAAGACTTAAACTCGATACCTTACTTAAACGATATCAAGTTGCTTACCACTTAAATTAACTCCTGTTGGTATTAAAAACTAATAATTTTTAGTTGTTTTGATGATCTAATATGACACTCATTATTTGAGTTTACTTTAAAATGTTATAACTCCAACCAAGTAGAGAGCCAACATGGGGCACTAAAAGTTCCACTAATAGGCTCCATATTCGCTTTGTTGATAATATTTTTAATCATTAATAACGTACACATATTACTTTATAGACACAATTGTTCGAACTCAGAACCTCAAGAAAGAATATTACTCCATTTAACCATTGAGGCCACTCAATGAATTCGATTCCTTGCTTTTCTTTATTCGAATTCAACCTAAAGCTTTACATTAGTCTCACCCCATCATAGTGCTTCAAAAATGGAGCTTATAGTTAGGTATAGAAAAAAACTAAAGAGTACTGCATTATATCAGTACATATAGTTATGGATAATTTAAACTTAAATTAATTCATAACTTTTTTAGAAAACAATAACTAAAATAAGAGTAGAAGTGCTAAACGAAATTAAAATGAATTAATTTTGTTCAAAGTTGATGGTCGACCTAATTGCTTTACACTCTGGACATCCACAAGAAATAAATATATTAATGATCAACTTTATAGTAGTTTATGTAGAAAGTTCCATTGGTTCGTTTGAAAAGGTTCACAAGAATTATTCTCCTTGCTCATTATGAAAACCAAAGGGACTGGTAAAGTTGAATATGATGAACGTATGAACACATGTTCTGGTATTTGTTACCTTCATCGAATAATTCGAATTAGTATTACAAAAAGTTCATTATAAAGACGATATTTTAAAATAATTTATTTCACATCTGATGGTATTGAAAAATCATTTCTTTTTATGGGAAAGAATCGAGCAAATTAAGTCCAAGCAGTGGGAGACTTTGAGGAAGTGCAGTTGACAGATGAGAGAGAGAAAAGGTTTAAAGTTCTGCAAACAATAGAGACAAAAACATGAGGTTTCAGAATCTGCATAAAGATTGACTATTTGGGCTAAATGTAGGGTTCCATTCAGTACACGCTACTCATATTATTAAAGAAGAAGAAGAAGAAGAAGAAGAGACATCAATGATTTCGAATACATTCCACTTGGGTAAGAATGGAATACATGGTCGAGACTTATTTGAAAATTTTATTAAAATGAAAGCATTTCAATCTGTAAATATTTATAAAAAAAATTTACTGGTTTTAAAGTTTTATTTTTAAGAGTTTAATATGATTATAAAGTGATATTTATGTTTTATATTAAATATGAATAATTTTACACACATATATATAAATAAATTATTTAAAATCGGATCACTTAGAAAAATTAATATTCTCTTTATTATTTGGGTCGCTTTGAGTTACAATTCTATTTTGTTTAACTTTTATATATACGGGAAAAAATCAGCAAAACCGAGATTGTTTTTTCGTCGGAGCTGGCGAGGTGGATTTAGAAACTTGTCTGTCCTATTAATAAAAGGGTATTTTTGTTCATAACAAAGTATTCTTAGCTATTACCTTATTATGTGGAATTTGATTATGGAATCCTATGATGATATAAAAGATAATGGTAGGATGATATAAAATTTGAGAATTTATTTATTAATTTGTTAATGTACAAATACAAAGGCTTAATTTAAAAATAAGTATTCCTATTATACTTAGAAAATTATAAAAAACAATAAAAGCAGAGGTTGTGACTATTAATGTAGTATCTTAATGTAATTAACCACAATGTAAAAATACTAAAAATAAATATTCAAATCATACATTTTTACTTTAGATGTATCAATTTTTTTAGGGTAATTTTGTGTGTGTAAGTAGACAAAACAATTAATTAATATTTAACGGATTTTTTAAAGATAACACTTTAAATAGTAACGTTGAAAATATAAAATATTTATTTTAAAAAATTTAAATTTAAGTAAGAAGTGTAGTTTGAATACTTAATTTAATTAATCGAAATACAAATCCTATAAGAGATGTTAATATCGGAGGTATATAAACAGAAAGAATCTAAAAGAGGTTACCCCGTGAGTAAAGTAAACCATCAAGTGGTCATCGTTTCCAAAGGCCTTATCTCTGTTTCTGTTTTGCTCTCTGTTTTGGGTTCCCATGAGGAGGATTCTGCTGTTTCATTTCCTTCTTTTAGCTCTCCTGAGAGAGCTCAGCGCTGAAGATACGCTTCTGAATCCATCACGGTTGGAGATGTTCGTGGATGAGCTCCCGGATATGCCCAAAATCAGAGGTTTTCGTATGGTGAATGCTTCCCCCGTAGCTCACTCACTCTCCATTGGCATGTTTAAGAAGAAATGGGTAAGCCAATTCCTTTCTGTCTTGTATCTATACTTCTCAAATCCTTTTTTTTTCTTTTCAATTCCTTACCTGGTTATGAATTAGTTTCTTTCCCTGTAGCTCAATTTTGTAATTTTATAGCATACTCTAATTAAAGGGGGAAATCATGCAGAGAAGAAGAGAAAAAAACTTTGGCAAATTCACGTAATTGCATAAACACCAAAGCAAGTTGGAAAGTTTGGTGCTTTCCCAATATAAAGTAGGCAGCGTGTTGAGTGATGTAATTTAAGTAAGCCATGAGGCGTGGTTTGATTAATTAGTTTTTAGTTTCGGTTTGATTACACGATTATTTTAAGATTTTAATTAAATGGTGTTGGTAAATTCGAGGAGAAAAATATTGTTTTTTCAACATCATAGTAATCGATCTACTTTGTCTTTGTTTGTTTTCGAGATTGCAGAGATTCCACAGCTACTTGCCTCCGACGCCCGTGTTCGCTTATGGTGCTTCGAGGCGCACCGCGACGGTCCCTGGCCCGACCATCGAGGCACTTCACGGAGTCGACACTTACGTGACGTGGAGAAACCATCTCCCGCCAAAGCACATCCTGCCATGGGATCCGACAATCCCCACCGCCGTACCTGCCACCAAGACGGGGATCCCTACCGTGGTGCATCTCCATGGTGGCATCCATGAACCGGCCAGCGATGGGAATTCTAACTCGTGGTTCACCGCCGGATTCAAAGAGAAGGGTCCCACCTGGTCTAAGAGGATATACCACTACAACAACAATCAACAGCCTGGAAATCTCTGGTATCATGATCATGCCATGGGGTTGACCCGAGTCAACCTATTGGCCGGTCTGATTGGGGCCTATGTTATTCGTCACCCCGAGGTCGAGGGCCCACTTAAACTTCCTTCCGGCGACGAGTTCGACCGCCATTTAATCGTTTTCGATCGTGGTTTTCGTAAGGATGGATCCTTATACATGAATTCCACCGGAAACAATCCCTCTATACATCCCCAGTGGCAGCCGGAGTATTTTGGCGACGTAATCATCGTGAACGGAAAAGCGTGGCCGAAGATGACGGTACGCCGTCGTAAATACAGATTCCGTATAATCAATGCCAGCAATGCTAGATTCTTCAGATTTTTCTTCACCAATGGCTTGGAATTCGTCCACGTGGCAGCCGACTCGACTTATCTTGGGGAACCTGTGGTGACCAAGCAAACTCTACTTGCCCCGTCCGAGATTACTGACGTGGTCGTTGACTTTTCAAAGTCGAAGACCGATGAAGCTGTTCTAGCTAACGATGCACCCTACCCTTACCCGTCCGGCGATCCGGTCAATGAATCAAACGGTAAGATCATGAAATTCAACATCAAGAAAAAGCCGGAACTTGACACCTCACGAGTTCCCAATGAGCTGATCAAATATCCGTCACCGGATTCATCCAGTGCGAAGCATACAAGGTACATCGCGATGTACGAATACACGAGCGACATCGATGAGCCTACGCATCTTTACATTAACGCAAAGCCGTATGAAGCGCCGGCGACGGAGACACCGAAGGCGGGGACGAGTGAGATCTGGAATGTGATTAATTTGACGGAGGATAATCATCCAATGCACATTCATTTAGGACTGTTTAGGGTGTTGGATCAAACGGAGCTAGTAAACGCAGAGGAGTTAAAGGGATGCATGTCGAAAAAGAACGATGCCGTCAAGTGCCAAATAAGCAAGTACTCACGTGGCAGAAAAATAGAGGTGCCAGCACATGAGAAGGGATGGAAGAATGTGTATAAGATGACACCCGGATACGTGACGAGGATATTGGTTAGGTTTTCTTACATACATTCAAACACGTCATACACATTTGATCCAACTGGGATGCCCGGTTACGTGTATCATTGTCATGTAAGTATCTTCGTCATTTTTTCTTTTATATGTTATTATTTTATATATTTTTAAAAATATTCGTGTTCTCGATGCATATTTGAATGTAAAATATTGAATATTGTCTGAAAATGCAGATACTGGATCACGAAGATAATGCGATGATGAGGCCACTTATGGTGATGAAATGAGGAACATGTTGTAAAGCTGCCAGAAACTTGTGTTGTTTATCACTGATGAGTATGAGGAGAGGGAATTTTATAAAGTCGTAGACATATAAAAGTACATGAATGTTAAAGCGTAGAAATATAAAGTAGACGCATCTTTACGAACTGGAAATGTAATGTTGACAGAGTATGGTTTATATAATTAATGAACAAAAATCTTTCGTCCCTCTTATGCATTTTTTTAATATTTTTTATCTAGGAGAAAAGAATGAAAATCTTGCTCTTAATGCCACGTATTTTAATGAATTTTCTTCAAATTAACCCTTAGCTATTGATTAATTACAATTTGATCTTTAAAATTATGACAAGTTATAATCTAATCCCTAATCAATAAACCCCTTTGAAAATGCTTATAAGTGATGATTACGTCATGTTTTAGCCTTAAATATAATATGTGATTTGGCATGTTCAAGAATATTTATTTGAATTCGATCTATGATTATCCATCTAATTCAATTTTCGACTAAATCTGGTTGAGAGTGTTATGGTCTATGTTAGATTTGGTCATGGAAGTAGCCGAAGTGGTTAATAGAGAAATACTTTTGTATAAAATTAAGAAAAAAACGATATGTATGACACTGAGGAATTCAATATAGTACATATACGAACCAAGCAATTAACCCATTTTGAAAAGCTTCTTGAAAAAACCAAATCGTAGAAATGAGAGAGTGAAGGTAGAAGACCATTTAGGTGGTCAAACGGCGAACACAAAAAATAACAATACCTTAAGTTTTTCTTTCTTGTAGAGATGAAGGGTTACATACTTTCATTAAAAAGACGATTTTTTTTTATTTGTTTTTCATTAAAAAGCTTAAGGTATTGTTATTTTTAGTTAATAGTTAGACTAAAGTTTTGACTAAATTAGACGATTTTCATCCGATTGCTATCATATCTGAATATTGTATCAGTTTTTAGGTTTTGTTTTTAAGGAGACAATGAGGAAGCCATGCTGTGATAAGCAAGACACAAATAAAGAGGAATGGTCTAAGCAAGAAGACGAGAAGCTCATAAATCACATTCGTATTCATGGTGAAGGTTGCTGGCGTACTCTTCCTCAAGCTGCAGGTATTCATCTCTACTTTATATATATACATACACGTGTGTGTATATGTATGCATGCATACACATGATTTTATGTTGCACATAATTACAAAATTTTATGGGTACAATATTGTATTACCAAAGAAAATATACAGAAAATATCTAAATTATATAAGAATTTGAAATTTCGAGGGATGCGATTTCAACCCAGTCAATGGTGGAACTCAACGTTATTTGCCGGGGGCCATTTTAAAAAAAAATGTATACATTAGTTATAATATTTTATTACTTTCAATTGAAATAAAATTAAAAGTTGAATATGTTGAACTATGTTTTATAATATTTTGATATAACAAATTAAGACAAAATATTTTTGGACTTGATTGAATTTGTTCAAAGTTTTCAAAAATAATTCAAAGTCCATTAAACTAGAATTTGAGCACAAAACTGTTTTCTGGGTAAGTTGTATCGATACTGTTCATGTGTATTGTTCATGTGGTATTGATACCAAAGGTAAGAGAAGTATCGATACTCTCTAGGTAGTATCGATAATACATGTTGTTTTCCAAATTACTCAAATTCCAGAATGCAAAATAGGTACTGATACTCAAAGGAGTATCGATACTAGTTTACAAAGTGGTATCAATACCATGAAGCATAGTATCGATACTGGTCAAGCCCAACGGTCTTTAACGTTTGGTTTATTTAAATTTTACAAAGGAAGTACCAATACTCATTAAAGGAGTACCGATACTCCATGTCCTGAGTAGTTTTATTTTGCAGAAAATTAATCTCCAACGGTTAAAAACGACCACAAACTCATTCTAACATATAAAAACAAGTTAAGGACACTTGAAGAAGGTTACAACACCTATCCAAGCAATAGATATCAAGAGAAAAGCTTTTTCACTCTTATTTTTCTTTTTTCCTTGTACATAAGTGTTTTTGAGCTCATTGCAAATCTTTTAATTGTTTTTGTGAGCTTAATTTTGTAAACACCTACATTGTGAGGTGTTCTTGTTTACATCTTTTTAACCTTTTGTAAAAAGGGAGTGGTTATATCTTAGCCATTGAAAAGATAGGGATTTGTAAATGTTATCCCTTTGTCCTGGAAAAAGAAAGAACAAATTAGTAAATTTGTTAGAAAATTCTAAGTGAGAAGCTTAGGTAGTGGATATAGACTTGGTTGAGAAGTCGAACCACTATAAGTCCTTGTGCATCAAATTTTCTCATTTTTAAATCTCATTAATCCCTAAAATTTTCTCAAATCCACTTCACCCCTCTTGGTAAATTATTCGATTGTTAAATTGAGATTCATCCAAAATCCCAACAGAATATTTAATAACTTAGTTTAAGTCATCAACTCAAAAAAGATGAACAACCAAATAGAAGAAAAAAAAATTATATATTGAAATCAGAAATAATAAAGGAGTATATTTTCATTCATTCAAAAATAAAACAAAATTACAAAAAAAATGAATGTTAACTATTTTTAATAAATGATTACTAAGTTTTAAAGTAGTACACATATTTTTTTATAACTACATTTAACAACTTATTATATACACTTTTTAAGGACCGATTTAAGAATTTAATATATATTAATATATATATATAAAATAAGTTTATTTAATAGGATGAGATACTAGATCCTTTAACAAGGCCAGAGGTTCAAATATTGACATTTGTGAGTAGATCAAATTGGGTTGGGAGGGTCGCTTTCACATCTGCAGTACTTGATCCGAATTAATCGATTAATAAATTAGATACCAATGATTATTGTCTCTCCCTCGATATATATATACACTAAAAACTAAATAAAAACTAAATTTTAGTTATGATTTTAAAAAAATTAAAAGTTTAGATACCTAAATAGATTAAAACTAATAGTTTAGGTATTAAATGTGTAATTTACCCTAAGAAAATTGGGGGGCATCTAGTCCTTTAATAGTTCCGTCTCTGAACCCAGTACCCCTCGGTTCATCATGCGCATGTGAATGGAGAACAACGAAGACAACTTTTATATTATTGCTTTTTGTAAATAATTGGTTTAGGGCTCCTTCGGTGTGGGAAAAGCTTCAGGCTGAGATGGAGAAATTATGTGAGGCCTGACCTTAAAACAGGAAACTTTACTGAGGATGAAGAGGATCTCATTAACAAGCTTCATGCACTCTTAGGCAATCCGTTCCATTTCTCTCTTTTTATATATATACTCTTTTTTTCTTTTTAATACTCTGAGAAAATTGCCTGTTTAATCTGTATAAACTTTGATTAGTATTCCTTCACTGTCGTAAAATAATTCAGGTGGTCGTTGATAGCCGGAAGATTGCCCGGAATAGCCGATGATGAGGTGAAGAACTATTGGAACTCTCATTTAAGAAGGAAGCTTATAAATATGGGTATCGATCCAAATAACCATCGTGTAATCCTCAAATTCCACATAATTTCGAAACTAGTGCAAGTGGAATATCACCCGGTCCAAAAGTTCCGGTTACCGGTGATACCAATATTCGTCCGCCATCGAAATCGCAACGTGACAACGATCAAGTTTCCGAAGCCACGAGTTGCTTGGACGATGAGCCATGCCGTAACCGGCCCCCTGATTTGAACCTGGAGGCTGGATCTCACCATCAGTGTTTAAGCTGCAACCGCTGATGAACTTGAAGATGATCAGGGGGAAAAAAACAGAAACAGTCGAACAAATTAGAAGACCTATAATATTTCAGGCCAGTCAGTTTGATTGTCAACATTAAGACATTAGAAAACTAGGGCTAGTTATACTGATGATGTTCTGTTTAGATATACATTATCTAAATTCATAAATGATCATTATATTTTTCTAAGATGATTTTATTTGTTATTAATTTTTTTAAAGTTACAAAATAGATATTAAACTTTGAATTTTATTAAAATATATGTACTAATCATTAAATGTTGTTAAGGGTAAATAATCGTGTTGTGCTCATTTTATAAAAAAAATCTAAATTTTAATGTATATTATGTAACTTTTGAAAGTTTGATGTCTAAAAAATCAATTTAAAATTTAATGTTCATTTATAAATTTTACCCTATAAAATAACGGTGAATTTTAATGTATGACATCCATTCTAAAAATTTCCAATATAAAGGTCTCCAATAGGCTTTAACCAATAGAAACACACAGACCAAGTGGAACTTAAATCTCCCGAATTTCAACGCGGTTGGACTTAATCAGTACTTAATAACAAAAACAAAAACAAGGGAGGCAGTAAGGCAAATAAATATAGGTGAGGAGATCCTAATCCTTATAAGTTGGCAAAGGTTGAAACTATAGCTTAGTTAACTAATTAATATTGGTTCACTAAGTTTTAGGGTTTATAAATTTGTCTCCTATTTTATGTAAATTAAGTATAGATTATAAATCTTGGATTGAAGTTTTTTTCTTATTCTGATGTGATTATAATATAATATATATTTAAAATTTTCTTAAAAATTGACAACACATATACTCAACATAGACAATTGTTCGAATTCAAAATCTCTAAAAAAAAATAACATTTCTTTCTACTAATTTATTCACTTGATGGACTCGGATTGAAGCATTTAAAACAGAGAGATTAGGTTGGAGAACATGATTCAATAATTGTCCTAAAGTCATAAAAACAGAAACAAAGAGTTGAAAAAACCAAAAGAAGGGATTTCCTTTGTGGACAGGTGATGGAATTTTGTCCATATGACAGCATTATTTAAACCACAAACTCTTTTGTCTGCCTACACAATGTGAATGTTGTAGCTAGCTAGCGTCCACCAAATCTCGTCCTTGCCAACTCTGAATATAATTAAAACCATGATCAATAAAATTCTTCTTACATTTATTGTTTCAATTTAAATTAGTAATCAAACCAATGTAAAAAAAAAATGGATGTCCCTTGTTCTCATATGTAATGGGGTAAGGTGATGTAAGATTGTAGGATGTCCCCGATACTAGGTTGATAGCAACTTCCGTAGGAGACCTCCAAATTATAAAATGTCCTCCATAAGACTCGATCCCACAACCTCAAGATTAAGAACCTTGTGCTCTACTAACTGAACTGGATGATCATTTCCAAACCAATGTTCAATCAATCATAAAAAAATCAAGCAGACATCGAAGGAAAATAAAATACAACAGCTGGCCTGCCCTTAACTCTCTCCGCTCTTGAGAGAGAACAAAATCAGACAGATACCGAGGGGGAGGTGTCGGTATTACAATGGCGTAGGTTCGTTGTGGTGGTTTTCTGTCTGTCTACGTTATAAGCATTCTAAAATGAGAAAATAACATCAGTGACCAAAAATGCCTTATAATATACGATTTTAACCAATTTTTTTTGGATTTGTCAAAATGACCAACTAAATCGCAATGCGATCGATAATTCGCAACGCGATCTCCGGTATCGCAAATCAATTTCCAGATTCGCAACGCGAACTTCGACTATCGCAATGCGAACTTGGACTATCGCAATGCGATTTACATATTCGCATTGCGATAGTCCAAGTTCGCGTTGCGATTTTTCAAATTCGTTGCGATAGTCGAAGTTCGCGTTGCGATTTTCCAAATTCGTTGTGATAGTCAAAGTTCGTTGCGATAGTCGAAGTTCGCGTTGCGATTTATTCCAAATTCGTTGCGATAGTCGAAGTTCGCGTTGCGATTTTCCAAATTCGTTGCGATAGTCGAAGTTCGCGTTGCGATTTATTCCAAGTTCGTTGCGATAGTCCAAAATCGCAACGACTGGTGTATTGCATTTGTTTCTTAAGAATTTTCTCTAAAAAGATAGTATTCACGCAGACGTTTCGAAGACACGTATTAACACGACCACGACCACGACCATGACCACGACCCGAGACGAGACGAGACGGACGGCGGCGGCGGCGGCGCTCGAGAGTCCCCCTTGTTCTTTATCACTCAACAAGGAAGTGGGAAAGCCAAGCCTTAAATATGTGATTATTCAGGAAACAATTAACAATCATGCACCTTAAAACAACTGAATCAGCAACCAATTGCATTAATATTATACTATTGTTAACACACCTTTTCGTCCTACTAGGATTCAAACTCCTAAAAATAGGATAGAATTTTAGGATTCAAACTCCTAAAAATAGGATAGAGTTCTACTATAATTTAAACTCTTAAAGATAGGATTCACAAGCATTATAAATAGTCATTGTAACTCACTATTGTAACACACGATTTACACACAAAATACAGAGGAAAGCACGGAAAATACAAAGGCAAAGCTATTGTAAACGATTCGAAAAGGAAATAAAAGGTAACATCTTTTTTACATTGGTTCGTTCATTTCTCGCATGTGCACGTTATTTTTCTTGAGATTTGGTTCGAGTAACCCAAAACGTGGGTTGCGCATATAACCAAAAAGGGGTGAGGTTTCGAAGTTTCGAACCTAGATCTACCCCCGAGGCGTGTTCATTTTTTTTAAATATTTAATTCACCCCCTAAATCATTTTTTCCTACTTTATTATTCTTGTTATATATGCATGTTACTTTCTATTAATTTTATTATATATGTATATGTTTTTTTAGTGTTATTATATATATATATATATATATATATATATATATATATATATATTTATTTATATATTTCCTATTTTACATGTATAAATACGCATATTACTTTTGATTTTTATTATTATTATTATTTTACTTCTATATATATGCTTTTACTTTTTTTTATATATTTTACTCATTTATTTATCTATTTTCTTTTTATCTTTATCCTATATTTTATGTTTTTATATTCTTTTACTTGTTTTATTTATTTATTTGCATTATCATTTTATTTTTATTTAGTTGTTTGCTATGTATATATTAGTGTTATTGTATTTTTTATTTTATATATTCTATTCATTTTATATTTACTTTATTTCTTTCTTAATCTCCTTATTTTATTTGTTTTACTTTATTTATCATTTATTCATCTCTTCTAACCTATATTTTGACTTTTAAAGGGTATATTTGTAAATCCGTCAAAGGTAAGTAATTTTGGATCATTATTTTATCTTTTAATTTAAACTTATAATTTTCTTAATCAAAGACAACTGGAAATTACGTAGTACCGAAAGGGCAGTTCAAGGGTGCTAATCCTTCCTTGACTGTAACCGACTCCCGAACCCGACACATCTTTGGAAAGACGCATATCAGGTAAGAAATAAGGTATCCGGTCAACCTATTTATTCTTAAATAAATGATCGGTGGCGACTCCAATCCACATTTTTTAAGTCGAAGCCCAATTCCGGGGCCCAACCGAAAGACGGTTGCGACAGCTTGGCGACTCCGCTGGGGACTCTCAAGTGAGTCAGGCTAAGGTAATTTTCAGTTGTCTTTTTAACGAAAAGGGTAAGTTTAAATTTCAAGGTAACATTTCGATCCTTATTGCTTACTTTTGATTATATTTTTTCGAGTAAATAGTTGTACTAACCGTTTTCTCAATGATTTCAGCCCTTAAAGTCTTTTTTCATCTAAGGCTCTAAACCCGAGCTCCGAACCCGTTTTAAGTGGGGGTGAAAGCGACGCATTCGTGTGAATTTATTCACCGCATATGCCTAGCAAGTAGCCTTCGGGATTCATATACCTTATGCCTTCGGGTGAAAGCGACGCATTCGGGATTCATCTAAGGCTAATGTGTCCTCTCGAGTTTAACTTAGTCCACACAAGCCTGTGATGGGTTTAGGACTAAGGGTCTGGCAGGCCCAAGGGGGCACCAGCAAGGAGAACTCGGGTATCGTTTTTTAGAACCTAACCCGAGAGACTTTGAAGAATTAGAGCCTACCCTAAAACCTCATTTCAAACCCTAGGATACCGAAATTATTTCATGCTTTACCTTTTGTTCAAAGCATGCGAACTAGACAAATATGCGGTTAGGATTTGTTTGAAATTAGCATGCGAGATAGAGATCATGTCCGGGTAGGAATAATAAGTATGTGGGGTAGATATCATGTGGGGTAGGATTTTCATTTTTATGATCGTTTTTTATTATTTTTCACCTCACTAACTCTTTTCATCTTTATTTTATTTTATTTTATTTTCATCACTTTCATCATTTAAAAGAGGTGTTGATCCACCAAAAACGTGTTTGTTAAACATGAATAATTTGCATTAATGGACAAATGGGTTGTAATACAAGAGATAAAAATACAAAGGATAGTCTACAAGGAGACTATGTGTCACATTCAATCCAGAAGACGTGGTGCCCACAATTAAAGAGTGTATCACTCTGCTGCATTATAAAGGACTCAGAATGAACCGAGTCTACATCAAGCACAATGAAAGCTTATCTTTGAAGAACTGACTGGCAGAGGTTGCAGGGACAAGATGAAGGTTATGTATCTTGGAAGTCCCTTTAAACATGAAAATGGCAAAATGATAGCTGAAATTGGAGACCATTGCTGGCGAATTCAAGAAACAGACTAATGAACTTCACGTAGTTCCTATCATTTAAGGACTTCAATGACGAATTCGTTAGGAACAAGCTCAACAAAAGTAAATGCTCGAGATGCGGTCATTCGAGACTTCTTGGACCAATACAAAAAACAACTCAACATTTTCACGGTTCATCTAGAGAGGCCGGAGCGGTTCGACGGGTTATTCAACCGGTGAAAGACGAAAGCAGAAGACTAGT